CTCGGGGACGTGATTCCAAGGATTTCGTCTTCGTTCCACCTGTCCTCGGAGATGAAATCGGAAATGAAAATGTGAAAACACTCCGAGGACAAATCGTTGGGCTCCGAGGATTTCCCAGCCAAATCGTCCTCGGCTCCAAAGGACCTCGCGAGGTCCTTTGGGGGCCGAGGATCCGTGTTTCACGGAGAGGAGAGGGCATGGACGTAGAGAGACGTTACATACACATCTAGATGTGTATAAGAGACAGGTGTGTGTGTGTGTGTGTGTGTGTGTGTGTGTGTGTGTGTGTGTGTCAGTGTGTGTGTGTGTGTGTGTGGGCATGTGGGCGTGTGAGTGTGGGGTCGTGTGTGTGTGGGCACAAGAAGCATTGGCAGGGCATAAAGATTGGATTACATGGGGGAGGCGGGTGTGAAGACAAACAGCACAAAGCAACGAGGCATTCGACAGCAAGCACTTGCTAGGCGTTAAACAACACAGGGTTGCAAGGCACAAAGGGTGGAAGATGGGGGGGAGGCGTGTGGGCTGACAAACAGCACGAAGCTGCAAGGAAAAATGCACAAATACAAGTGTTGCACTGAAGACACAAGGAGCGAAAAATATGAAATAACAAGAACTGATGATGGCAGACTGTTTCGTCGGACTTGCACCTACGCATCAAGAGGCTGAACCATCGACAATCTGTGGAATCCCCGTATTAGTGGTTTGGGTCATGAACCCTTCGACCCTTCCTGAAGGCAAACTGTCCACAAGCGACGACAACAGTAAACAACTCAGCGAAGCACTAGGCAACATTGCCGGAGCAACTCAACTGCACAACGCCAAAAACAATCACAAGGCAAGCGGAAGAGCAGCACGGCAACAACGCAGCAAATCACAAGCCAGCACCAACACAGCAGCCACGCTACATGACACAGGCAAGGGACGCAGAAGGCACGCCACGCAGATGGGCAGCAAGACAACAGCGCAGCAAAGCACAAAGCGACACTAACACCGCAACCACACCAGACAGTGAACACAACAGCTTGCAAAGAACGACATGCGCCGCAAGTGAGACGGGCAGCAATGCAGCCATGGAGCTCAGACAAGGCAGTCTACACATCCAACACAGAGCAAAGTGGCACATTACGTACTCACATCACGACTGAACCCCGCAGACTTTTGGTTCCCACCACCTGCTGAGCTAGGGAGTTACTCCGACAAACGTTCATCAATTCTCACCGATGCAGTTGCTGCATTGAATAACATGGAGTAGACAAACGCCACAGGCCACGCGGCTCCTACAAGCTAGGAGGTCCTACATGCTAGGAACACTGAGGCAGATAGACCACAATTATATGCATTGGGCATTCTCGTTCCAGCCTGTCTACAAATTGGACACAGGGTGCTGTACATGGGTGCAATCATTATGTTGAATGTCATCATACATATGAAAATGAAAACTTGCATGGGCTATGCCTTCATAGTCCTCACGAGTAACGATACAACTTGAATGCCTGGGAATCATATGCTAGCTGAATCTCAGGTGGGCCATCACAGAGCAGCACTGACCAAGTTTCTTGGGTTTCAGCAGCCATCATTCCCTCTCATTGGGTGGCAGGTGACATCGGGGGCTGATCCAGAGTAAGGCTGTTTAGCTTTTGGAAGATTTGGTTTGCAACAGCTCGCCTGGCAACCCAACCTTCCAGTACAGCGCACTTCAGGTGGCTCATGCGAGAGTCTATTTTCCACCTCCGGCTGCTGCGTTTGTCGTTCGTTTGGCAACGATGAAGGTGATCCGACTGCAGGTGCAGCAGTTGCATGCCGAACACAGCATGACATTGTGGGTCATGCTAGGATAGGATCTGCAGTGACGAGTGATAGCATTGGGTATAGTCCATGCAGAAGAGACACATGCTTTCAATAACAGCTTCCTGAAAACATTGTGGCTGACATGCCATGCTTTCCATGCCAGGAAAAAAGCATCGCATGTCAAGGTCTCAACGACATATCAGGCAAGTAATGACGGGGGGGGGGGGGAGGAAGGGTGCAGGACAATGGGGCACAGTTTTCACTGCAGAGTCTGGCAGTGACCATTCCTTCATAGCGTTCGGAGCAGAGACTATGCGGTGTGCATGCTAACTGAACGGAAGCAGTGTGGAGACACAATGGCATGGCACAGGTACCCTCCTCTGGAGGGGCCACTTCACTCTCCGTGGCAGAATATGTCCGATCTACAAGGATCAGGGATGCTGCCTGGCCAGTGGCCAGTATCAGGGGAGGGAGGAGGTTCAGCCAGATTGTTCTCCAGAGGCTGTAGAGCTTGCGAGCGCACATCCACATGCTGTGCCTGATTGACCAGCCAGAGTGAGTGGGAATCTGTGGGATTCTGCCACTTGGTAAAAGTAAGAGGTAATATTTCGTTGTGTTGGTATGTCTGCCACGTTGGCGCGGGGGGGGGGAGGGAGGGGGGGGGTGCATGCATCCGTGTGTTGGTGTGTGTGCAACATGGCAAATCATGCTAAGTTGCTTCACACACTTCCTGGTACACTGCCTTTTT